GTTATTTAGACACTTGGGATATTTAAGCCTCCACTATCTTGATCAGATGCTGTATGCCATGCTAGAGGCAAAAGAGAATTCAGGAGATTTTACAATGGTAATCAAATGTTCAGCCCAGATGTGCCCTGTGGCGGTTCTCACTACTCACTGGCCAGAGCTAGACACATAGTCTCATCCAACCACAAAGGGACCAAGAAATAACATTCTGTCTTATTACCATGTGATCAGAATAAGAGGAGAATAGGAAATGCATGGCATGCAGGTCAAATTACTACCCAAAGTACTCACTGAGTAACTTGTGTTAAGTTTTATATTCTGTGTATTAAATCCTAAATCCTGTTTCCTAACTTGTTCAGTATGTGAAATTCAATAATTCCTAAACGTTTGTGAATCCCAGTTTCCTCATCTATAAAACAGTAATAAAACCACTTATCACATGGGAATACTCGAAATTAAATGACCAAGTGTATTGAATGAACCTGACAGAGCACCTAGACATTCAATGCCTAGTGATACTAAGTTCTGTAAAGGCTGCTCTACATACCCCAATTCTGGTGATAGCTCAAAATTTGGGAGACGTCTGGAAGTTTATTATCCATGGAAGTTTACTGTCAACGAGACCAGCAGTTAGGGTGGTCACTATGCTTCCTAGTGAGTCTTCATTGAGAATCCAGAGCTACAGCAACATTCAGGAGAAGATATCCATGTCCATCGGGATAGACAATGAATATGGAAATACTGTGGTTGTACTCCTGGAGGGGCAGGAGGAATAGTCTGAAAGAACTTTAGATGCTCTTCCTTGACGTCAGTATAATGTTGCTTTACCTTCATCATTATCTTTATTTTTTTCTGGTTTCTTGTCCCCATCTCTCTGGCTTACCTTTTATTTGCCTCTTACTGATCTCACTGATTCTGTGTGTTCCCTCTCTTGTCTTTGCAAAGTTACCTCACCTCTCTGTTTGTTTGTTTTTTATTTTAGAGAGAGGAAAGAGGTGGAGAGAGAAACAGAGACATCAATGAGAAAGAAACATCAATCGCTGCCTCCTTCACACTCACTACTGGGGTTCAAGCCCGAAACTCAGGCATGTGCCCTGATCGGGAATCTAACCAGTGATCTCTCAGTGGACAGGATGAGGTTCAACCAACTGAGGCACACTAGCCAGAGCACCTCTCTGGGTTTTAATGATATCATTTGGATAAACAGAAATAATCCTGTATCCCCGGACTATTGTAAGATTAAGTTTCAACAATTAATATATATGAAATTATCTAACACAATAAAACTATGCACTGCTTATTTTAAAATAATAAAGAAGATAACCATTTTGAGAATTTAAATTTGGTAGTTGTATTTTACAGTTCTAGAGTGTTAATGAATTTCTACGTTTGATAATCTATAAATGCTTGTTGGATAAACACACTGTATGAAATACATGATTAGCTCCCTTAGACACATACTGCGGACTATAAGATTTCTATAATTAGAATGATAAATTTATACGGTATTCATGTTTATCTTGAGACACAAATATATTATCAATCACATTTATGCATACATATACTTGCAAAATTTATAAATATGCACATATATATTTATATTTAGATGTACAATATGTTTATGTAATCTCAGAAGTCTCACATTTCACTTTTTGCTCCCAAGAGGGGATTCATTACACAGTTGGCACACAAATATTTGGAAAAAATGACATACACATATATTTGTTCAGATTCAAAGTACTAAAAGTTCTCTGGGGAAAATATAGAAAATGGCTAGTCAGAACTAGAGATCGACTATATTTATTATTCATGTTTTAGTTTTCTAGTCAATAACTAATACTTAATATTAGTGAAACCTAGTCCAAATAGAAAATATCCTAAGCATTCCTTCAGTCTTACAGACATGTAGACATTTACATGTTTTTTCAATTTAAATAAAACTATGTAGGTAAAAAAGTAAGAGGAAATAATTTATATCACACTATTAAAACAATTTATATAAAATTTGTTTTAAGCATCATTTTGTTTAGTTTTCTCTGATAAAATTATACCAAATTAATTTTTAGTTTAAATCAGTGATATAATTATATGTAAATTAATTGTAATTAACTATAATACAAGTACATATAATATGCTATATAATACAGATACATATATCATCTTGATTTCAGTCTTATTCTAGTCAGCATACGGAGTTATTCATTTCATATATACGTGTTGAGTGTTTACCATTTGCCAACCACTGCTTTAGGTGCTGGGGTACAGCGAGATGAACAGTAGGTTACATCTTAATGGAAGGAAATATCTAACAAACCAATAAATAAGTGAAATATATATCTTGAGGAACGGTGAGGAGGTCTATGGGTGAAAATGAATCAAACAGGGGAGCTAGGGAATGTTTGTGGCTATTCCGTTTTCAGTTATGGCTTGGAAAAGCCTGGCCAATCAAGAGGCATATAAACCTAACTGGGATGAGGATTAATGGAGAAAAGGATGACCAGGTATTTCTGGAATCCAAATAATGACTGATACAAACAAACAAACAGAGAAAAAGGCCATAATGAGATTAATTTTCAAGGTCTTGCAGAAGGAAAGGTAGTTCCCAGAGGTTGGGTAGGGGTTGGGTGTAAGTGGAAAGTATCTGATGGTTCTTGCAGGGACTTGCACAACTCAGGGTTCTTCTTCACTCCTGTCAAATACACACTTCCACACGTACGTGGTCACACACACATGCACTCACTCACCAAATGCTTTTTATAGCTTAATTATAATTCTGCCCCAAGTTGTTTCAAAGTTAAGTACCACCATGATGTTTTGGTTTTTTTTTTTGCCTCTCTGGTTTTAAATACCAGTAATCATGTATTACCTCTAATTATTTAGAGGTAATGACTCTCAGAGATTCAGGTAAACAGTATGTATTGTGTTCATGGCACAGAAACGAAAGGATTAGAAAGGCATAGTGTTAACCTCAAGATGCATATCTTAGGGCAAACATATAGCACAAAATAAATATTCACTGGTATGTTGCAGTATGAGCCAATATGTTATACCAGTAATGTGTTTTGACAGCATTCACAAAAAGAGTTATTGTTTCTAAATATTGGGCTGGGATAAAACTGTTTATTAGTCCATGAGGTAAAGGACTAATAATTGATAGTGGAACATGGACAATTCTCCAGTTATATTTACCCAGACTAGAAACTTTAAGAACGTATTTACTTTTACACGTGACTAAATTTCTATGATATTTGATATTAAAGTATACCTTTACATTTCACTTTTTTTTCTCTTCTTTTTTCTTTCTGGCTATCATACTTATCTTGCATGTTATCCCTAGTCAATGAATACATTTAATAAATGTATGTATTCAGAAAATTCTTTAATGTTTCTATGAATTTTGATTTCTCATTCATAAAATGAAAATAGGTACATCTTCATCAGATAGTTTTGAAAATGAGATAAGACAATTAAGATCTTAGCTTAGTATCAGCCATATAAAAATCCCAGTAAAGGTTAGCTACTTTTTAAAAATATTATAATATTATGAAAGAATTTTAGCAAAAATATGTATAATGTAAGTTCCAAAAAAATGTTTTGAATGTTAAGGGAGAAAGTTATTATATTTGTTTATTTCAAACATGTTGCTTAAGATAAGTAATATAAGAAATTTAAAAATATGTATTTTCTCTCATAATTAGCATGCTTTATATCTTTTTTCAACTTACTTTTAAAAAATGTTTTATCTATCTATTCTATTTATTTAGTTCTAATCCTCACCCAAGGACATTTTTGCATTTATCTTCAGATAGAGAAGAAGGGAGAGAGGGAGGAAGAGAGAGACACATCATGTGAGAGAGGCACATGGAATAGTTGCCACCCACATGACCCCTACCAGGGCCGGGGACGAACTGCAACCTAGGTACGTGCCCTTAGTGGGAACCGAACCCAGGACTCTCCAATCAGCAGCCGACACTCTAAGCGCTGAGCCAAACCAGCCAGGGCCTTTTTTCTACTTTCTATGAAAACCAAAATATATTACATAAGCTTTTATTTGATTTAATATTTATTTAAGTTTGTTATTTACAGTATCATGATCTGTTATTAAAATAAAAGCACTAGCTTAAAATATTGTAAATGTGTAACCTACGTAACTTATATTATGCCTAAATGTCAATTTATTTTATAGTTGAATATATTTAACATAAAGAAGTATTCACTGCCCTGGCCTGTTTTGCTCATGGTTAGAGTGTCGGCCCATGGACCAGCGTCCCAGGTTCGGTTTCCGCTAAGGGCATGTACCTCGGTTGCAGTTTGTCCCCAGCCCCAGTTGGGGATGTGTGGGTGGCAACCAGCAGATGTGTCTCTCCACATCAATGTTTCTCTCTCTCTCTTTCTTCCTCTCTCCCTCCTGCTCTATCTGAAGATAAATGCAAAAATGTCCTTGAGTGAGGATAAAAAATAATTTAAAAAAGAGAAGTATTTACCAAACATTAGACAGCCCAAAATTATTATTTTTAATGAAATTAAAATGTTTAATTATTTCTAGAAAAACTAATCTTGTACCAACTTACACATTTCCCTAGAGTACACAAATCCTTTTTAGTTTATCTTTATAAAACATTCAAGAAAATAATACTATTGCTTTAGTTTAAAAAGTATTAAACTTAAAATTGATAGGGAAGTAATAGAAAGTATTTGGTTGATTATGATTTAACACATTTATTTATTTTTATAAATCCATTACTATTACTACTTCTTAACTTTAATCATATATTTTTAATGAGCTATCTCTATACTTTGTCAAGTATTCATTTTCAAATTTGTAAATTTACAAAGTTACTACCATTATGTGTTTTAAAATATGCATTTTTTTGTAATATGAAAATTATATTCCGAAAGCATATTCTGAAATCAGTGCTCCTGAGTGAATAATAAACCAGACAACTAGTGGTTTAGTTCCCAATTACTAGGCACTATGAGAAAATTCAGAAGGGTGACTGTACCTTGTGTCGCAATCTTATTAGAGGTTGATAGGACTTCGGGCCATATCCTGCTTCTCTGCTTGGCCTTCCTTCTGACTCCAAAAAAATGAATCCAAGAAACAAAACAGCTGACCAGCACTTAAACATCCTTACTGATTTTCACCTGTGAAAATTAACATTGCAAGTAATCAGAAAATGCATTATACATTTAACAAACATATTAAAAAATATTAAATAGTGTAAAGAAATCTCCACGAATCTAATAAAAAATTACGAGCACTTGCCAACTGAATCCATGATAAGTGAGCATCTCCAAATATAAATTATGATCCCTTCATCATAATAAATACTGTTTATATTTTCACTAATACAGCCCTTACAGAACATTCAATAAATAGAATATAGAGGCCAATAAAAACGTATTGAAAAGAAAATTAGTAAAAGTATATTGAAAGAAAATTTTAAAAAGAAAACATTAACCATGGATAATTTTCTAAGCATCCACAGAGAATATAATTACCAACATATTTATAAATTTTGAATTTCTCTTTGAGTATGTTTGGTAAATAATGCTTAATGAAACTATAGTTATTTTAATTCACTGGCAAAGACTGGTGAGAGATTAAGAGAGTCTACCATGGTAGAGACTCAAACTAAGGTACAACAGAAATTATGCAGATGAGTTATTTATGTTATGAATATATTTCCCCAATAGTATCTAAAAGGGCTTCTCCTTCAATAAAGAAAGTAAATTAAAAAAATAATAATAATAATAACAGGGATCTCCTAGAAAATTGCTTTATAAATGCTTTAAGCGAAAATTGCCATGACTCTTTTTAATGTTCTATGTTTTGGATACACCAGAAAATTGTACAATGTCATACATTTATTATCATATAAATGCTAAGCTCTTTTACAAACAAATCTATGCCTTGAGTTCAATTACATTTCATTTCACCACTTTCACCAACACATCTTTGTACATATTGTGGCAATAAATGAGCTCTTTCTTCTCCTGAGCCAATCTGTACATTTGACTTTTTGAGTAACTTAACCAATTGATTAATCCTGTCAGTAAAGAGTTATATATTTCATTCTGTCCATTGTCTGACCATAGTTTACTTCAATCTTGTTTCTATGTCACTATCAAAGTAACAGTTCTTTTTTCAAGAAACAGTCACTTTACTTGATATCTATCATAACCCTCTCTTCTGTTTCTATAAAATTTATGAAAATTCCTCAATTCTTTTGTGAGTTACTCCTACTCCTTTACTTTGCTATTAAAGGTTATATTTGATCAAATCTTATTGCTAGCCACTTATCCTACTGCATTCACTCAGCCCAGGTTTTCCCCAACATAGTCTAAATGTCAATTTATTTTATACTTGAATATATTTAACATAAAGAAGTATCCACCAAATATTAGACAGCCTCAAATTATAATTTTTAATGGAATTAAAATGTTTTAAATACATGTATTACTTCCCAGCCACCCAACCTCCAGATTGGTAGTTAGCCTGCTTAACAGCTTCATCTTTATGTTTCAGAAGCATCTCCTCATGGTACACATACTCCAATGCAAAGTCATGCTTTCCCAGATTTTCACTTATCCATTTACTCAAGCATACAAAGACACCATCCTTGACATCTTTGGTCCCCTTACCTTTCATACTAAACCCATCAGTATGCTCTGTTATTTCTACTTTCAAAACATATTCCTCAAACATCAGTTTCTCTCCATGTCTACAGTCACAAGCCTAGCTCGTGCTATCAGCACCACCCCTTCCTAATCTGCCTCAATTATATCCTTACTGACCTTTCACATTTATGCACACAAACCTTCAATCCATTCTCCACACAACAGCCCGAATTATTACGACAAATCCAAACATGACGTTATTGGTTTTGTCAGTAATTTTAGAATTTACTCATTTACCTTTAAGATAAAAACAAAATTACTGATATAGCCTATAAGTTCCCAAAGACTTCAGGCTCTGTATGTCTTTCTCTTTCTGCAAATAACTGCTCTCCAGCCTCACTAAGCTTCATTCAGTTCTTTGAACTTATTTTGTCTATTCCCACTATCGGCTTTTTTATGCTACTTCCTCCACTTGAAATGCAACTTTTTCTTCTCCATTTATCATCCAAAGGCCTTCAGATAAAACACATCTTTCAAGGACCCTGTCCCATAACATCAAGCCTGAGTTACAGTTTTTAGTCACTCACAATCACAGATCAGTTTTACTTGATTTCAGAGCATTTGTTTATAATTATGCAATATTAATATAATTGCTTGAATGTTGGCCTTCTTCACTAGATTACACATATATCTCTCTTCTCCTTCAAACTTCATGAATTCAGAGATATGGGTGAATTTTGAAAAATATTTTTTCTTTATTAATTTTAGAGAGAGAGGAAGGGAGAGAAAGAGAGAGGTAGAAACATCGATGAGAGAGAACATTGATTGGCTGCCTCCTGCATTTCCCCCACTGGGGATTGGGCCCACAACCTGGGCATGTGCCCTAACTGGGAATTAAACCGTGACCTCTTGGTTCATGGGTTGACACTCAACCACTAAGCCACACTAGTTGAGCGGGGGTGATTTTTTTTTCAACATTATATCATGTGGGTCTAGCAAATCACCTGGCACTTACTAGACACTCAATAAATAAATACATAAATGAATGTCATCCTGTATTCAAGAATAAAAGAAGGATAGTGGGTCTTTTGGCATGTTGACAATGCTTAATGGAATACCTGTTTTCACTACTGCTACAAAACATCTGAAAACAAACCTGAGAAAAATAAATATTTTCATTTGTCTTCCATCACTTTGCTGTCACTTTGATGTATCGTCTAATACTTCTCTTAGAGGTAAATATGAGTTTATAAGACAAATGAATGGAATATCTTAGATCTAAGGTAGAGCCCAAGAATAAAACAAATAGAACTAGCTCAGGTGAAGGGATATTTTCTCAGGTGTCTGAATACTACGTTCCTTCTGTTGTCAACCAGGAGAGGGTAAGAAGAGGTAAAACAACAACTCTGTCCCTTCATGACTCTGAGTAAAGGTGAGGTCATAAATTTCTTAAAAGTGCTCAAATTGCTCATATAAAGGTTTCTATTCTGCTCTGCTTTTTTTCTTCCTCTTTTCCTCTTCCTCTCTCTTTCTACACACACACACACACACACACAGACACACAGGCATACACACACACACATATATATATATATATACATACACATATGGTTACAATTTTTTTTATCTACTATAAAATATACAGTAAATTAACAATTAATTTTAATAAATGCCCCAAAATCTCATCAATCTTGGATAAGTAAACTTGCATACATTTACCATTAGATCAACTGTCTACTGACATATTTTATCTGCCGAAGGCAATAGGCTTGAAATATCTGCTCTAAGAAGTTTCATAAAAAGTTGATAAAAAATAAGTCAGTGTGTAAATCTTTGATGCAGTACATGCAACCAACTTGTACTATTTTAATTTACTTATTTTATATTATTAACAATGATTAACAATGTTGTCAATGATAGTGTTATAGTTTTCAGGTCTAAAATTTCTTAATAATAAAAAGTACAAAAATAAAAATATAAACAGTTTATTTCAGCAAAAGCTATTAGACAAATGGAGTAATTTACTTTATATCACAGATAAAGTGAAACAGAACTAATATTAAAAATCCAATAACTTTTTTAAGGAGAATTCTGATTTCTACTACAGATAGGTGTTTGACCTCAGCAATGTACTGTTAGACAAGACAAAGGACAAAGACTCGTTTCTGTGTTTATCTTATATGAATAGCTACCTTAACTGTCTCCATCAAAACATTACCAAGAAAAATAATTGAATCCAATTATATAGCTATCAAATAACAACCTAAACAAAAAGATTGTTCTTCTTCATAGATGCTTAGAAACTAATGATTATCTCCTTAGTTCTCCTCTGCTGCAGGATCCAAAGATGTCATTATTATGTCTTTAAAACTTTACTCATCCACAGGAGGTGTTCTGGAAATTGTTTGTAAATCAGCAGCAATCCATCCCATGATGTACTGGCTGGTGAGCTCACTTTCTCAGTGCAGTAACCTCTGACAACCTGTTAGGTTTTCATAATTAATTGGCAGATTGTTGACAGCTCAGTAAGAATACTGAAAGCAGTTGACTAAAACAAACCTGCTACAACAGATGGTGCAATAATGATCCTATGACTTTTCCTTGTAACCTCAACATTTATACAGAAGCATCAAAAAAACAAAACAAAAAAACAACCTCATTATTAACTTGAGAAAACAAAATGCGTATGTATCTAAAAAGTATGTGCCTAACATTAGATTTAACCAAGTCAGCCTTAAAAGTGGTAAAGGGGATGGACAGAGGTTTCTCTTCTTCAAAAATAACACTTTTCTCTGAATCAAACTATTTTCTCATAGGGTGTGCTGCTTATGGTGATAAGGTTTAGAGTACAGTAGTTACATTATTTAGTAGATTCAAATTGGAGAGATTTTGATTTGTTTACACATTCTCTGGAATCTTTTAATCACGTGGGAAAACAAACTAAGAGTTGAAGTATTTCCTTAGGAACAAAATGTAGCATTTGAGATGGGGAAAGTTGCTGGGGATTCGTGCCTATGATTAGAATGTCAAGATGAAGCAAATCCCCCACTTCATCAACATCATCCGATGTTGCAGAGAAGTCAAGCGTCCTGAGGGTTTCATCTGGAGCGCTCTCACTCCATCCTAAGAAACTACTACAGGCTTTTTGAGAGAGGGCTCGTCACTTCCTTTGTGAAACCTCTGTCCATCGCACACAGACTGTGCCACTCCTACTGCAATTTTTATGTATCTCCCACTTGTGACTTTTTATTTGCACTGTGCTTATTGCTTGAGGAAAGGCTACTGTCCTTGTATAAATACAGAAGGAAGCACATTAAACTGGTTCCATCACAATCAGGCATGTGTTTTAACTTCCACAGATCTCCCTTTGCTCTGCTCTGTAACAGGGAAATGGCCTAAATGATCATTATTGCCCTTTTCTTTTTGGTAGCTTATAAATTCTATAAGACAGAGAAACTAACTTCTAGACTGCCTATATCACACTCTATGACCTAAGCAAAACCAATTGCCTCAGTTGGGCCCCA